CTCCCAGCAGCGCCCCGAGCAGCCGGGGGGGCTGGCAGGGCTCAGCAGCCCGCGGGGGGGTGTAGCCCCTCACCATCTCGAACACGGCGTACTCGGCGCTGTAGCTCTCGCCCGGCACGACGCCCGCGCCGCCCACCAGCCCGGCTGCCAGGTTGTCAATGATGTTCCCATACAGGTTGGGCATCACCAGGACATCAAACTGGTAGGGGTTCTGCACCAGCTGCAGGGGCACACACAGGATCATGGGGTTACTTTGGCTGGAAAAGACCTTGGAGATCCTCCAGCCCACTCGTTCCCCCAGCCCTGCCCAGTCCCCACTGCCCCACGTCCCTCAGCACCATCTCCAGGGCTTGGAAACCCCTCCAGGGATGGGGACTCCCCCCCTGCCCTGGGCAGCCTGGGCCAGGCCCTGACAACCCTTGCCAGGCAGGAATTGTTCCCCAGATCCAACCTCCACCTCCCCTGGCACAACTCGAGGCCGTTCCCTCTTGTCCCATCCCTTGTTCCTGGGGAGTAAAGAATTCCCTCCTAATATCTACTCTAAATCTCCCCTCTCCAAGTTCTAAACCCCTGCCCCACGTCTGCTCACCCTGTGCCCATGCAAAAAGTCCTGTCCCAGCTTTCCTGTAGCCCTGTCAGGTATTGGAAAGTTGCTATAAGGTCACCTTGAAGCTTCTCTTCTCCCGGCTGAACAACCCCAACTTCCTCAGCCTGTCCTCCCAGGGGAGGTGCTTGGATCATCTCCGTGGCCTCCTCCAGACTCGCTCCATGTCCTCTGTCGGGGGCTCCAGGACTGGACACAGTGCTTCAGGTGGGGTCTCAGCAGAACAGAGCAGCCCATGTTGAGCTCCTCCACCATCACCTTCAAGTCCTTCTCCTCTGGGCTGTCTTCAGTCCTTCCTCCTCCCAACCTGTATCTGTGCCTGGGATTCCCTTGACCCAGGTGCAGGGCTTGGTCTGAACTTGATGCAGTTTGCACAAGCCAATTTCTCCAGCCTGTCCAGGCCCCTCTGGATGGATCAGCCCCTTCCCTGCAGCGTGGTGACCTCACCAGTTTGGTGTCATCAGCAAATTTGCTGAGTGTGCATCAATCCCACTGTCCATGTTGGAGTCAAAGATGATCAAGAACACTGGTCCCGACAACCTCTTTTTACTTGTGCCCTGTGATGGGACGAGGGGCAATGGATTCAATCTTGAGCACAGGAAGTTCCACCTCAACTTGAGGAAGAACTTATTTACTGTGAGGGTGACAGAGCACTGGATCAGGCTGCCCAGAGAAGTTGTGGAGTCTCCTTCTCTGCAGACTTTCAAGATCTGTCTAGATGCCTTTCTGAGTTTTGTGCTCTAATTTTTGTTCCTGCTCTCAATGATCTTTGGAGATCCATGCTGGTTACCACCAACCACCTCCACATTTTCCACATGCCTTAGCACAGCCTTTAGGAGGATCTGCTCCATTACTTTGCCAGGCACAGAGGTGAGACTGACTGGTCTGTAGTTCCCTGGGTCTTCTTCCTTCACTTTTTGAAAATGGGGGTTGTTTCTGCTTTTCTAGTCAGCAGGAACTTCACCAGACTGGCATGACTTTTGAAATGCAATGGACAGTAGTTTTGTAACTTCATCTGCCACTTCCTTCAGGAGCTGTGGGTGAATCCCACCAGCTTCCATGGACTTGTTCACTTTCAGGTCCTTCAGGTGGTCACGAACCTGCTCTTCATCTACAGTGCAGGGATCTCTCTTTTCCCAGTCCCTGCCTTTATCTTCTGTAACTTGGTGGGTGTGACCAGGTCTTTGCCATTGAAGACTGAGGCAAAGCAGCCATTGAGTCCCTCAGCCTTCTCCATGTCTTGGATGACCAGCTCCCCAGTTTCCTTCTGGAGTGAGTCCACATTTTCCCTAGTCTTCCTCTTATCATTGATGCACCTTTAGAAACTCTTCTTATTGCCCTTAACCTTCCTTGCCAGATCCAGTTCTCCCTGTGCTTCTGCCTTCCCAACCTGACCTCCTGCTTCTCCCTACCTCTCCCAGAGGACCAACACCTGTCCTTGCTCCCACCCCCTGTGAGCTCTGTGTTTACACCTAAGTGGATCCAGGAGTTCCTTGCTCATCCATTTGTAAGCTGCAACTTGGAGTGTTCCAGCTGTCTGTGCTGGGGGGGCAGGGTGGGGGGTCAGGGGCTCCTCACCTGCATGCAGCAGTTGTCAATGATCATGGTGTCAAACTTGATCTTGGGGTACAGCTCTGCCACCTCCTTGCAGCACTGCAGGAACAGCCCGTCGCCCAGCTTCCTGAGGCAAGAAACACCCGAGGGTTTGCAGGACAGCACCGGGGGGTCCCAGCACAGGGGAGAGGCAGGAGACCCCCGTGGGGCAGGGGCAGGAGGGTCCCTCACATGATGTTGGCCTTGTGCACGGCTGTCACCTTGGAGCGCCCCTTCTTGGTGGCGAAGTCGAAGGCGAACTTGGCGATGCGCTGGGACTTGGTGCGGGTGATGATCTTCAGGCACTCGATCACCCCCTTGGCACTCTGGGGAGGGGGCAGGGGGTGACCAGCCCCCCCAGGCACGCAGCACCCCACCCCCCCCGGCTTTATGGGGCAGGGACCAGGACACTGGGTTGCTCCCCATCCAGAAGTTCCTACATCCCCATGTCCCTCCCGCAGCCACCGCGGCCCTGCTGGAGCACTGAACATCCTCCCATCCCAGCCTGGAGCATCCCTGCTGCTCCTGAAGGACCATGGAATGGTGAAGGTGGGAAGGGACCTCAGAGATCACCCAGTCCCACCCCTGCATGGGCAGGGACACCTCCCAGCAGCCCAGGCTGCTCCAAGCCCCATCCAACCTGCCCTTCAACACCTCCAGGGATGGGGCAGCCACAGCTTCCCTGGGCAACCTGGGCCAGGCTCTCCCCACCCTCACAGCCCAGAATTTCTCCCTCCCATCTCAGCTCCAGCTCCCTCTGCCAGCTGGAAACCCTTCCCCCTGCTCCCATCCCTCCCTGCCCTTGTCCCAAGCCCCTCCCCAGCTTTCCTGGAGCCCCTTCAGGCACTGGAAGGTGCTCTCAGGTCTCCCTGGAGCCTTCTCTTCTCCAGGCTGAACCCCCCAACTCTCCCAGCCTGGCTCCAAAGCTGCTCCAGCCCTCCCAGCATGTCCACTGGACCCTTTCCAACAGGTCCATGTCTTTCCTGTGCTCCCTGGCCCTGCTGGCCATGCCTATCTTGATGCAGCCCAGGACACAACTGTCCCCCTGGTCATGCTGGATGTCCCTGGGATGTGCTGCAGGAGCAGGACCAACCCTGCAGAGCAAGCTGAGGTACCTCGTGCTCCAGGGAGCTGTACTCCCCCTCTGTCTGCTCCCGGATGATCACCAGGTCCAGGTTGTTGTGCCTGGTCTTGTAGCCTGGCAGGCTCTTCACGTGCACCACGTTGGCAAACAGGTCCAGCTTGCGCCTGGGGGGCAGCACCCTCAGCTCCCACCAGGGCTGGGGACACCCTGCTACCCAGGGCAGCAGCTGGGGGTTGTGAACAGATCCCCCCTCCTGACACCTTCCCATGGCTGGCCACCCACCCACCCACCCATCCC